GAGAGCAGGTAAGTCTCCAACCTCGCGGCTGGCCTCCTGGTACTTCCATCGATAGGATGAGCAAAATTGAATGAATCTACCGTCAGAACATGGAAATATACATTGCGCACACCAGACGTGCGCAGCGCCTTGCACACCCAGATGCGCGGCACGCGCCTTCTTTTCTTTTCTTTTCGGTGTGGACCATGTCTTGATTTATGCGTGTCATCCTTGAAAGCGCAGGGGCCATGCTGATCTTCTTTCTCTGTATCGTTCCAATTTTAACGGCTGTGGTGTCCCGAAGGGTATTACCTGCCAGGACTGTTGGGACCACCACCCCCAGTATCTCCCAAGTCCCAAAAACACATAATATAACACAGGAAGGAAAAAGAAGGAACACATAAAAGCTAGCGTTCAACATTTTTGTTAGGAAAGCAATTAAAGAAGGAGAACCACTAGCTTCTTTGTTTTCCTTCTTTTTCCTTCCCCCTCCGCCCCCTCCCCCTCCCCCCTCCCGCCCCACAAAACATACAGCCCCTTTTATTCTGGGGCGCATCAKTCCGGTTGCTTATCACCGGCAAACATGTTTTACAAGCAACGAGGGAGAAAAGACAGGAGAAGAGAAAGGAACAGCCACACCTTTGTGGCACAAGCGGCCTTAGCAAAGGGGGAGGGGGGGGGAGGGGGGGGAAGGAGGGGGGGGTCTGCTACAGACCGCCTCAGCCCCAACCCATAGCTCCACCTCAGGGATTACCTTGCAGGTCGGGAGGCTTGCTAGCAGCACCGGTCCCCAAGTTTCCAGGTGTTCTTGTTTCAAACAGACCCCCCTTCCCTCCCCATCCAAAACAACCCTTTCGTTGTCTGCCTACGTCGTCCCCGTTCCGCCTCCATAGTATAGTACAACTAGCTTCCGTAGTATAGTACAACCCTATTTCGAATCTGGTCGTCTTTCAGAACTGTAGTACATGTCGGCTGAGCTCACTAATTCGATTCCCCCTCCGTCATAGGGCAGGCCATTTAGAGCATCAGGATGGGACCAAACTGCATATGGCCTGTATCGGGATCTCGACTGATCAGCTGTGGGATATGGATGGGTGCATCTTGCTCAGAAGGCCCAGCCCTTCTGTCCCCCACCTTCCCCCCCCCAACTCTTCTGCTTCGTTGAAGGTCCACCAGAAGGGCGATACGGATGTTCTCCAATGGCCACCGTTCTTGATCTACTTGCAGCGGTGTGGATGCTCCCTGTCTGCACCGCTCATTCCGCAGGGTCCAAAGGGCCCATAATGTTGCCGTTTTTTATTTTTTTTATTTTTTTTTTTAGCAGGGACTTGATGTTGCCGCTTTTTCCTTTTTTCAAGACCATAGTTTTTTTTTGCGTGTTTTTTTTAATTTTATTATTATTAAATTTCTTTCTTTTACAATACCGGAATCATCAAAGCCTGAAGTTTTATAACTGCGCAAGATGGTACGCTGCTATTTTTCTCTGCGGACTTTCACTTTTTTCTTCTGTTTGAGCAAACCAAATACCAAATCATAATAATTATGAAGCAAACAAGCGATTAATTGATAGGCTTAATAGAGATAAAACCGGGTGTATCAGATATGCAATGTTCAGTTCGTACTCCTCCGTAGTCGGTTCTACCTCCTAACGAATGCTTTGTGGGGTTCGTATGGGTGCCTGAACGGGTAATGAATGAAAGTGTGGGGAGGAGATCCCGTATACCCAACCAAGAACTACGAGCAAGATCCCAATGCCATTATGGACTTCACGAGTCACAAGTATCACGAGCCGACTCCAGAGCTCGTTGATCTCTTTAAAGAGGTAATTCTCTCTCTCTCTCTCTCTCTCTCTCTCTCTCTCTCTCTCTCTCTCTCTCTATCTCTCTCTCTCTCTCTGTCTCTCTCTCTCTCTCTCTCTCTCTCTCTTGCCCCCCCCCCTGCACGCTGTCTCTTATACACATCTAGATGTGTATAAGAGACAGGGTCCCTAGGACCCATGCACAAAAAAGAACACTGGAAAAACTGAAGAGATCCGTGATCTGAGCTGAATCTTGTCTTGTTGGTAGCTGAAATTTGAAATTTCCCACAGGGCAATCCCCCCCCCCCATCAGGTCTTATGAGTTGCCTGGGGTGACCCTGGCATGTGCCTGCCTGCGCGACTTGCCTGGGTGCCGGATATCTCTGGTAACCTTGCTCTTTTTTCGAAAAAAAACAATTAAAATTTTAAAAAAAACTTTAAAAAAGTCAATTTAGAATAACATACAGAAAAAAAAAGCATGGTTGCCCCGGACAACCGGACAACCGGACATGGACACCGGACCTGTGTCTGGATCAAACCGGACGTCCGGTTAACCGGACATCAAACAGGACATCCAGACATCCGGACCCGGACAGTCTGGTTTGCTGTGCAGGTGTCCGGTTGTCCGGAAGAAGGG